ACACCTTTATTACAGCAACACCTTTATTACAGCAACACCTTCATTACAGGAACAATTTGATGACAGCAACACCTTGATTACAGCAACAATGAATGATACATCAACACCTTTATTACAGCAACACCTTCATTACAGGAACAATTTGATGACAGCAACAACTCGATTACAGCAACAATTTGATGACAGCAACAATACGGAATACAGGAACACCTTTATTGCAGCAACAATGAATAATATAGCAACACCTCTATTACAGCAGCGATAAATAGTATACATAGCACCAACAAGTAGTACGTAGCACCAATAAATAGTGGTATATATAGCGCCAGTGAATAGTAGTTGGGCAAAAATGTGAAGCGTATGGTCTAAGGGGAGTGTGGCACGCAGCAAAGTGTGCAGCACAGAGCAACAGGAGCTAGTGGCTTGTGAGCTGAGCATACCGTCTACAAAGTGGGCAGAAACTGGCTTTGGTGAGGACTGCATGGATGCAACTGCCGCAGAAGACGTGAGAGCAAGGCGTAAAGACGGGGTGTAGCAGCAACTCGAGGCAGATGCTGCAGCGGAAGTCGTATTCGCTGTAGAAAGAATCCACAGATAATTGGTACCGTTCAACATGTTTGTTTCGTTGTGAACGGGAGCCGCCACTACTGCTGCCCTTGTTGCTTGATCGAATACTACCCTTGACGCTACAGGGAAGCAGCCTCAGCTTCCTCATCGCGTGGCTGTTGAGCAGCTGCAGCGTCTGCTGCTGCAGCTCTGGTCTGTCGGGAGTAGCGGATCTCCCGCTGCTGCTGCTGCTGCTGCTGTTGCTGCGCAGCAGCAGCAGCAACGCTCCTAGACCTCTGTCTGAGCTCAGAAGCAAAGGGGAAACTCCGTTTCTCAAAGAAGCGACGGCGGCAGCAGCAGAGTTCAGTCCAGTGCTGCTCCCAACTGCGAGACGCTGAGCCTGCTGCCGCAAACGGCTTCTCAAGGCAGCATCCTGCAGAATGCATGCAAAATTCAAAGGCGCATACGCGTAAACATTCTTATGATACATACATACATATACATATGTATATGTACATATATATACATACATATATGCATATATCCAAATACACATACATATATATATTCATACATATGTATACATATATCTGTACACAAATACACATACATGTATATGCATATATACATACATATATGTATACATACAAATACACATACATAGATACGCACATACATAGAAACACACAGACATGTATACGCATATGTATATATATATATATACACAATTACACATACATAGATACACACATACATAGAAACACAAATACATGTATAAATATACATATATAAACACAAATACACACACATATACATACACATATACACATACATACACTTAAGCACAAATACACATATATGTACACAAATACACATACACAAACATACACATATACACATACATACACTTAAGCACAAATACACATATATGTACACAAATACACATACATAAACATACACATACATACACATATACACATACATACACTTAAGCACAAATACACATATATGTTCACAAATGCACATACATCTATGTCCACAGGCGTACACACACACATATGCATACATACACACTTACACACAAATACACATATGCATACATGCACCTTCACATTCATAGATCTACACAAATACACAACATCCACATATACACAAATACACAACATCCACATATACACAAATACACAACATCCACATATACACAAATACACAACATCCACATATACACAAATACACAACATCCACATATACACAAATACACAACATCCACATACACACAAATACACAACATCCACATATACACAAATACACAACATCCACATATACACAAATACACAACATCCACATATACACAAATACACAACATCCACATATACACAAATACATAAACACATCACAAGAGGCCTTTGTAGCTGCCACTTGATGGCTGCGATCGAGAAGAAAAAAGCTGCACGATAAAAAGTGTTTTTCTCCTCCTCGCGGCTCGATCGTTCTGCCCCTATTTTTACAGAGTGTAGAGCCGTTTTTTAGGCTGCCTTCTTCTTCACGTTGTAGTGTGTGTGTGTGTGTGTGTGTGTGTGTGTGTGTGTGTGTGTGTGTGTGTGTGTGTGTGTGACGCAACTGAGAGAGAGACTGCACGGCGTCCACCTCTCCTCTCTCCTCTCGCTTTAAAAGCAGCCACAAACCGACGCGCAGATTCTTACCGCAAGAAAGGCTCTGGAGGCGACAGCAGTTGCACCGAGAGCTCTTGAGCCTGCAGCTGAGCTACGCAGCAGGAAGAACTGCATCGTAGACTGCTGCTGCTGCTGCTGCTGCTGCTGCTGCTGCAGCTGCTCTGAGTGCTCCTCCATGTTCACCGAGCCTCCAAGAGCAGCCTGACGGTGCTGCAGCCTGTCCGCCTCTGCCGCTGTTGCGATGGCTGAAGAGGGCAGCCGACTAGCTGGCTGCATTCGTGTGAGGGGAGCGTCGCGTGGCGCAGTTTCATAAGGTCCACAACTTGACAGGCTAGCTGACTCTGAAGATCCTCGTCCAGCGCTTCGCCTGCTGCAGTAGGTGGAAGGAGAATTCATGCTCCTTCCGCCGCGATCAGCGGCTGTCGGTGTGCCTGCAGCGTCTCGGGTGCAGTGTATGTACAGCGCCTGTTGCCGCTGCGCCTGTAGTTGCTGTGCACGAGGAGGTCTGTTTCTGCGGGAGAAACCGAGAGGTCTCCGCAGAAGAAGGTGCTGTTGCTGCTGCAGGGAAGGCTGTCGCTGCTCGGAAAGACTCATTGTTTGCGGGAGGCTTCAGTCATCCGCAGACGAGAAGCGAGCCCTCACCTCACTCCTCGCGACAGCCGCTGCAGCAACGGCTGACTGAAAAGCGCAATAGAAAAGCAATGTCGGCAGGGTGCCGAAAAGAGTAGAAGGAGACTCTCGCAGCCACTTTGGCGAGTCTCCGCGTCGGTGCTGCTGCCGTCCCTGCTGCTGCTGCTGCTGCTGCAGCTCATGCGGAGATGCACTCGCAAGTATTGACAAAATCTGCCGCTCCGTTGAGGCGGAAGACTCCAACAACACCACTTAGATGCCGCTGTTGAAATCAGGATGCAGCAGAAGCCGCTGCTGCGCCTGCTGCGCGTTCGTCTGTCTGTCACCAGCAGCTGACCTTGCGGCGCTGGTCAGCTGTATGTACACCGCGGGAGCGGTGGCAGCAGCAGCAAAAGCAGAAAACGCAGTGTCTTCCAGTCACAGCGGACCTTAAAAACAAACAACAAACAGAATGGAGGCAGAATGTTGCCTGCTCTGTCCTCCTTGCTGCAGCGTTTGCCGCAGCTGCAGAGATCCAGACAGCTCTGCGGCAGCAGCAGCTGCAGCAGCAGCAGCAGCAGCAGCTGCTGCTGCTGCTGCTGTTGTCAGTCAGTCAGGCAAAGGCTGGAGGAGAACTGCTGCTGCTACGGCTGCATCTGCGCAGGAGGTTAGGTGACCAACAAGAGACATTAGTAGGAGGTTTTTGAGCAGTAAAATCGCTTTAAAAAGCCATTAAAGGCAGCCTTCTCCCGAACATTAGCGTACATACAGAGAACTAACGCCCTCTGCAGGGAAAGGAGCAGCAGGATAGCAGCAGCTGCTGCTGCTGCTGCTGCCGCCGCTGCTGCTGCTGCTGCTGCTGCTGCTGCTGCTGCTGCTGCTGCTGAGCGTCTGTGTGGCCGCCTTGATAAGCGGGGAGCAGCAGCAGCAGCAAACAGAAGCAGAAGCAGCAATGGCGCTGGTTAAACTGTCTCCTTGAATTTCTGGTGTCACATAGAACCCTCTGTGAAGAAGCAACTCTGCTAGAGGCGAAGTAACATCTCGCGCTGCTGCTGGGTAGGCTGCTGCAGCCGACTGCGCCTGCAGTTGCTGCTGCAATGCCATAATGCGCTGTATAGACACATGCCCGAGTAGACAGTCCTTTTGCTCTGCGCTTCTCGTAGTTCTATCAGCCTTACACCCCCTAGACGGCAGCGGCAGCCGTCGAGTTTGCTGGTTTTCTCCCGATGCTTCATCACGTGTCACTGCAGCAGTGGTATGACACCATCATAGGGGCAAGAGCAGCAGAAAGAGTGCATGCAATGCACATCTAGCGACAGAAATCTCAGTAACAGCAGCAGCAGCAGCAGCAGACAGCAGCAGCAGCCGTGCTATGTCGCGGGGGGGCAGCCTCTATAGCAAACTGAGCGAAAGCAGCAGCAACAGCAACAGCAACAAGAGCAGCAACAGCAAGAAGAGCAGCAGCTAGAGCAGCAGCAACAAGAGCAGCAGCAACAAGAGCAGCAGCAACAAGCGCAGCAGCAACAAGAGCAGCAGCAACAAGAGCAACAGCAACAAGAGCAGCAGACGCAATAGCGAGCATTGGAGATTCTTAGAGAGATATCGCAACAACGAGGATGGGAAGGAGCAGCAGTTGGTGGCTTGCTGCTGCAGCAGCACTGCTGCTGTCTGCTGCTGCGGCAGTGACATTTGGCGCTGCAGCTGCTGTTAAAGACTCTGCAGCTGCAGCAAAAGCTGCTGCAGCTGCTGCAGTAGCAGCAGCAGAGGAAGGGGTGAGCTACGTAACGGCCTTTCAAACTCTTGATGCTCTTGCCGCTGCTGCTCTTCGAAGGAGTTGCTTCTCCTGTTGCTGCTGCTGCTGCTGCTCTTTCTGCTGCTGCTGCTGGTTGTTGTGGTGGGGGGGTGATGTTCAAGGCACTGATGCTCAAGGGTGTATGTTATACTTGCTGTTTCTGTTGCTGACGCTGCTGCTATTTCTGATGCTGCTCCGTTTCTGATGCTATTTCTGATGCTGCTCCGTTTCTGATGCTATTTCTGATGCTGCTCCGTTTCTGATGCTATTTCTGATGCTGCTCTGTTTCTGATGCTGCTCTTTTTCTGATGCTGTTGCTGATGCTGCTCTGGTTCTGATGCTGCTGCTATTTCTGATGCTGTTGCTGTTTCTGATGCTGCTCTGTTTCTGATGCTGCTGTTTCTGGTGCTGCTATTTCTGATGCTGCTCTGGTTCTGATGCTGCTGCTATTTCTGATGCTGCTGCTATTTCAGATGCTGCTCTATTTCTGATGCTGTTGCTGATGCTGCTCTGGTTCCGATGCTGCTGCTATTTCTGATGCTGCTCCGTTTCTGATGCTGCTGCTATTTCTGATGCTGCTCCGTTTCTGATGCTGCTCTGTTTCTGATGCTGCTGCTATTTCTGTTACTGCTGCTATTTCTGATGCTGCTCTGTTTCTGATGCTGCCGCTGTTTTTGCTGCAGCAGCGAGCTACATTCAGTCCCAAGTTTGCGGCAAACCAGCCGCTTGATGCAGCTCACGAGGTAAGAGAAGCAGCAGCAATGCCTCCCTCAAGCGGAGGCATTGCTGCTGCTGAAGCTGATGCATTTCACGCCGAAGCAGCAGACGTTCCTCCAGGCTCAAGGCTACTACCATCAGAAATGCCAGCAGCAGATGCAGGAGCATTGGAGTCGAATGTCTATGGGCAAGAAGTACTGCCTGGAGATACACAAGCTGAGGATACACAAGCTGAGGATTCACTTGCTGAAGATGCAGCAGCAAGCGTGGAAGCGGCTCACGTTGATTTGGGTAGAGCAGCTGCTATGGAGGATCTCCCACCTGAGGCAGAAGTCGTAGAGGATTTAGTGCGAGAAACAGCTGCTATTAAAGACGCAGCAAGCGAAGCAGCTGCTGCCGTAGAGCACGTAGCATCAGAAATTCTTGCTGGAGAGCAGTTGAACAGAAAAACAGCTGCTGGAGAGGAAATAGCCAAAGAAACAGCTGTTAAGGAGGAAATAGCCAAAGAAACAGCTGTTATGGAGGAAATAGCCAAAGAAACAGCTGTTAAGGAGGAAATAGCCAAAGAAACAGCTGTTAAGGAGGAAATAGCCAAAGAAACAGCTGTTAAGGAGGAAATAGCCAAAGAAATAGCTGTTATGGAGGAAATAGCCAAAGAAACAACTACACACAATATTGGAGCAGAGCAGCATCAGACAGCAGCAATGCCTGCAAAGGCATCATCGGTCGCTGCGAACTCTCAGCAGCACAAGCAAGAAAAGATAGGCTATGCAGAAGCAGCAGAATCCACTCTGAGCCACGAGAGGGAAAAAGTTACTCCCTTAGAACCCTCTAAAAGTGCAGAAAAAGCGGCGAAATCAGCAGAAGGAGGACAGGAAGCAAAGACAGCAACAGCAGCAGCAAGAAAAGTTACAGCGCAGGCGACAGCAAAGGCAGCAGAAAAAGCAGAGGCATTGCAGACGACTATACCAGAGACACCAGGCAAGGCGCAGCGCACAGCAGCAGCAGCAGCAGCAAACAGGATCCCATACAGACAGCAGCAGCAGCCACAGCAGCAGCAGCAGCCACAGCAGCAGCAGCAGCAGCAGCAGCAGCAGCCACAGCAGCAGCATGGACAGCACGTGTATCGGCAGCAGCAACATCAGCAGCAGCAGCCACAGCAGCAGCAGCAGCCACAGCAGCAGAGGCAGGAGCTGCATGATACGGATGGTGAGGCATATGTTAGATCCCCCGTGGGCATACAGTATGAAGGAGCCGCAGAGCAGCAGATTCAGCTTGAGCAGCAGATTCAGCTTGAGCAGATTCAGCTTGAGCAGCAGATTCAGCAGCAGATTCAGCAGCAGCATGGTGATCCATACGTTTATGAGAAAGCGCAGTATGACGCTTCTCCCTACGTGGATTCCTCCTCACACGAGGCAGAATCTCGGAGGGGGCAGCCGCAGCAGCAGCAGAATCAGCAGCAGCAGCAGCGGCAGTCGCAGCAAGTCTCCCCTTACGGTGCTAAGCAGGCTGATCACGAGCAGAGGAGTCTGGAGCAGCATGGCTATCTTCCAGAGGAGGCGGATGTGTATTCACTGTCACGTCAGAAGCTGCGGCAAGAACTGTCTGGCTCTGCTGCCTTTGCAGAAGCGTATGAGACGCTGGAGCAGCTGTTGCGTAAGAAGGGGGATCCAGAGGGGACTGGCTGTGGGGAGAAGCAGGATGTTGCTGCTGATGCGAGTTTGTAAGGGTTGCACCGTTGTGTTTGTGTATGTGTTTCTTTCTTTCTTTCTCATTTTCTCTCTCTTTCTTCTGAGAAGTTCGCGTTGCACTGCCTCCCCAGATGCAACGGGGTGCTGCGAGTTTGCAGTGTATGTACAGCGCGCTCGCTGCACCAAGGCATTTTCCCTCCTCCCCCCCCCCATCAAGCTCTGCACTGTGTCTGTTGTTGCAGATGCGGAGTGCCCAGCATACGCGGCTCGACTCGCGGAGGAGCAGCAGCAGCAAGATCCACTGGAAATCCCCGTGTGGCTTGGAGCCTTGGCTAAGAAAAGCTGGATTCACGTCTTGAGGGATGGTGCCACGAGCTTGTTCTATCAGCAGCAGGAGCATGGTGCGTTGGTGATCGGCAGCTTTTCTCCCTCTCTCGCATTCTTCTCCCTCGTTGCTGCTGATTTCCCTGGTAATGGCTGCCGCCATGCTCGCTCGCTCGCATCACCAGCAGCAGCAGCAGCAAAGAGAGTTGGGGCTGGTCCTTTGCTGCTGCGCGGGCGTCTCGAGCTGCCTGCATGCTGCATGCGGCTGCCTCTCTGACTGGCGTCTCTTCTTGCAGCCTTGCAGCCTTCCTTTCGCGGCTCTGCTCGCCACTGTGTGTGGATTCCCTCGCCGTGCTGCAGCGGCTGCTGCTGTGTCTGGCGTGACTTCTCTCAGCAACTGCAGCAGCTGCAGCTGTGCGTCAGGCTGCCGCTGTTGCCTTTGCGCATGCTTCGCGCGCAAGCGACCAGGCTTTTGACTCCTACCCAGCCTTGTGGCTGGTCGGAAGTGCCTGCCTCGCCTTCCTGGTGAGGCTTCTCCCTCCAGACGCGCTGCTGCTGCCGTTCTGAAGCGCACTGCATGCAGAAAACTCGCTCCCTCTAGCACAAAAGCTTGGGGATTTCGCTCGACTGCAGCTCTCCGCGGCGAGGCGGCTTTGCGTGCTGGCGTGTCTCCTTTTCCAGATTCTCAGTCGCCTCCTCTTTGGGCAGTTCTTCCCCATATGCGGGCTGAACAGCAGCAGCAGCAAGACGCTGAAGCAGCAAGAGACGGCAGCGGCAGTCGCGCTGCAGGCATTTCTGAAGCAGCCGCAGATGCAGTCGCTCTTCGTGCATGCGAAGAAAACTTCGCTGTGCTGCCAGAGTTTCGCAGCAGCAGCAGGCTCCGCCAGCTCTCCCCCCAGCGGCAGAGTAAGCAGCGTGGGCAAGTTTTCCGAAGGCAGCGCTGCAGCCTGCAAGCAGCGAGAGGGCGTAATTGGCTCTTTTTGTCTGCAGCGGGGGAAGGACTGCGCAGGGGATAGCATGCATGCGCAGAAGTGTGTCGTTCTTCGCAGGCGTCGTCAGCCACGTCGGCTGCTGCTTCCAGCCAGGAAGCTCCTGCTTTTCAGCGTGTGCAGGAGCAGCTTACCCACTTCCTCGAGCAACACCAGCAGCAGCAGCAGCTGCATCAACAGCAGCTCCTCAATCAAGCGCAGCAGCTCTCCGAGGCTGTAGAAGCGCAGTCACGATTTGCGCTGTTCATGGCTCAAATTCTGAAGTAGGGAAGCAGCGACAACAGCCGCAGCAGGAGGAGGAGTAGTTGAGGAGTAATTGAGTTGGAGTAATTGAGTAGGAGTAATTGAGGAGGAAAAGCAGCAGTAGCTGCAGTGCCAGCAGCTGCACTGGCAGCTGCAGCAGCAGTAGCAGCAGCAGCAAGGCAACTTGGGGGTGTGGGGTGGTTTCTATTGGGGCTTTTGACGCGCTGCTGTGCATGTGTTTCTGCTTTCCTTTCTCAGGCACATGTCGATGAGTGGAAGCCAAGCGGTGAGCAAGCACACGCTGCCACGCCTCGAGGGATGTGTGCAGCAGCGCTTGCTGGGAATACCGATTTCGCCGCAGCAGCAGCAGCAGAGGCTGCGCTGCTGCTGGCAGCTGAGTGTATTGCCTTGCAGCTCAGAGAGCCATGCGTTTCTGCCTGCCGGTGACTGCTGCATGCTTTAGGGGGCTGAGATGGACTTGCCAGAATTTATTTCCAAGTCACAGCAACAAGGAAACGGCAGCAGCTTGGCTGTTGCTGCTCTTGATCTCTTCGATATGGTGTCACCTCGGCTCTCTGCGCAAGCGTCCACGGGTGTGCTCTCTGCTGCTGACTTTTCTGCTGCTGATCTTTCTGCTGCTGACTTTTTGCTGCTGATCTTTCTGCTGCTGATCTTTCTGCTTGATATACTATGGATGATGCGCGCAAGTGTATTTTGCCTGCCAAGTCGTGGTTTGGGCAGCTGCTGCTGTTGAATGAGGCTCACTGGGAAGTCGATGTCTTGAGCTTCTCCTGCTGCGTTTTTTTCAGACTTCCACGATGGCATGGGAGAGGCAGCACCAGCAGCCTCAGCAGGAGGGATAAATGCAGCCTCAGCAGGAGCTATGAATGCAGCCTCAGCAGGAGCTATGAATGCAGCCTCAGCAGGAGCTATGAATGCAGCATCAGCAGGAGCTATAAATGCAGCATCAGGAGGAGCTATAAATGCAGCATCAGCAGGAGCTATAAATGCAGCATCAGCAGCAGGGGGAGGCAGCCTTTTGACAACCCTAGCAGGCACCATAGGCAGCAGCAAAATCGAAAATGCTCCCCCCATACCGCGTGGCTTTTCTCCGTCTCAGCAGCAGCAAGAGAACTACGAGCTGTCTGCACTGCCTCCCCTGCAGCAACTTCAGCCCTCAAGTCAACAGCCTCAACAGCCTCAGCAGCTACAAGACACGCAGCAGCACGCGCTGCATCATCCGCAGCAGCACCCTGGAGCTCAATTCGCTGAGCGTCTGCCTCAGCAGCAGCACCAACAACAACAATTGCTGCAACAGCAGCAGCAACCGCAACAACAACAATTGCTGCAACAGCAGCAGCAACCGCAACAACAACAATTGCTGCAACAGCAGCAGCAACCGCAACAACAACAATTGCTGCAACAGCAGCAGCAACCGCAACAACAACAATTGCTGCAACAGCAGCAGCAACCGCAACAACAACAATTGCCGCAACAGCAGCAGCAACCGCAACAACAACAATTGCCGCAACAATCGCCTCCTCTGCGGATTTCCCATGAGTCAGTGGTACCCCCCCCTCCAGCCGCTGCAGAAGCGAGCGACAGATTTCTGGAGACTTCTCACGACTCCACGCCAATGAGGCGCTCAAGCCTTGAACGACGTAGGCAGCTGCACAGCAGCAGTCGGATAAAAAGCTGCCCATCGTGCGAAGGGTGATGTGTGCCCATGGAGTCCATTCACCTTTTTCTCTCTCTCTCTTTTCCTTGTCGTGCGCCTTCTGTTTTTTTCTCGGCTGCAGACGTCTCCCCCCTCCCTCTTGCCTCCAGTAGCCGTGCATGCGTGTGTGTCATGCTGCTGCTGCAGCCTTTGGAGCCTCAGTGGAAGGCAGCCACGCAGCCTCTGTTGGAGGCGGTCCCCCTTCAGCAACTCCGACAAATGTCTCGCAAGTCGAGACGTCCTCTGCGGGAGACAACGCTGCAGACTTCGTCTCTGGCGCATTCCCCATGCCGCAGCAGCAACAGCCGCAGCAGCAGCAACAGCCGCAGCAGCAGCAACAACTGCTGCTGCTGCAGCACCAAGTCCCACCGCAACAGCAGCAGCAACAGCCGCAGCAGCAGCAGCAGCAGCAGCAGCAGCAGCAGCAGCAGCAGCAGCAGCAGCAGCAGCAAACACACAGTAGCCTTCCAAGCAAGCCTGGAGGCTCAGTCCAGACACCCCCTAGAACTGCCCTACCCAATGGAGTGCCTCCTCCCTTGGCGCGTAAGGTCGTGTTCGATTCGGCGTTTCCACTGTCTAGCCTGCCTTGCTACGTGGCAGTACAAGGATGATGACTGCTAGCGTGTATTTGTCTACGTGTGTAGGTGTATGTATGTATGTTTATGTGTATGTGTATGTATGTATGTATGTATGTGCGTATGTGCATGTGCGTATGTATGTGTATGTGTAGGTGTGTATGTATGTGTATGTATGTGTGTGTAGGTGTATGTGTGTGTATGTATGTATGTGTAGGTGTAGGTGTGTATGTATGTGTATATATGTATGTGTATGTCTAGGTGTATGTGTGTATGTGTATGTATGTATGTGTGTATGTAGGTGTAGGTGTATGTGTGAATGTATGTGTATGTCCAGGTGTATGTATGTATATGTGTATGTGTGTATGTATGTGTGTATGTATGTGTATGTATGTATGTGTGTATGTAGGTGTAGGTGTATGTGTGAATGTATGTGTATGTCCAGGTGTATGTATGTATATGTGTATGTGTGTATGTATGTGTGTATGTATGTGTATGTATGTAT